CAAATGAAGATGTCTTTAATCTGAATTACCTTTTCAAAAGTATTTAGCATTTTTTATTCGTCTTTGTTGGCGTGTGGCTCTAGGTCAGACTGCAGCCTGCCAGATGGGATCCTGAGAAAACAGGGACTGTGCAACTGGGGATAGGTGACATGACTGATCCTTCAGTGCTGTACTGGAAATAAATAAATACTAAAATAATGGAATTAATTGTAGTTTTAATAGCCATGAGATCACACCTTCTCTTTCTCCTGTTTCTTACCATTTTAGCCACTGCTGCAAAACTGTGAAGCTAGAGCAGCTTTGAAAAGCAAGACATTTTAAACTCAGAGAAGACAGCATGTTTTTCCCTGTTATCATCTGCTGTTGGAGCATCTAGTTTGCTATGGTTGAATTTTTCCTCCAAAATCTGTTCGATGGGGAGAGCCAGCGCTTGCTCAAAATAAAAAATAAAGAAAAAAAAAGTTTGCCAAAATTTTTTTGGGAAGCAAGCAAACATAGAAATGTCTGCCAACAAGATTATTGTTTTAATAAAGCAGAGTACTCTCTTGCCTGTAAACTCACTGTGCATTTTAAAGTGGGGTAGGCTAGCATCAAGTGGGTTTTGCTGTATGATAAAATTCCAGGTAACTTCCTTATTATTAGCTTGCTGCTTCAGAGGAAATGTCTGAAAAGTGTCTTTTTAAAATAAACTTCCTTGCAAGCTCATTCTATAACACAATCACCTTCAGCCCACTAAGAACGTAAATTTGTAGAGTATGCGGATTTGCACCAGCGTGTGGCTGGAGGTAAAGGGTTGTGTTCTTCGTTTAATCTGGTATGAAGTGATCTGAGCCCTGATAATGTCATTGCAATAATCGTTTCGAGATGTTGTTGCACTTCTTTTGAGGCGTGCTGGTTTTTGTTAATTGGTTATGTCAAAAAACATTGTATGGGGTTGAATTTGACAGGATAAAGTTCAAGTGCTGATACGCATGTCAGCTATGGCAGAATGAAGTCTCTCAGGTGCACTAAATATAATATTTCTATTTGGAAAAAAAACCCAGAAACTTTTAATTCAACTTAACAAATTTTCTATAGCTTTTAAAAAATTAAAAAAAATACTATAGAAAATTAACTGCCTTTAGTAGGACTAAGTATTTGTAAATTTTTTAGTTGATACTTATAACAGCCTTACAACAATCCATTGTTGAAATTGTATGTGGAGATATTCCCATGTAATCCCACACGGATCTTGCAATTCTAAATTGCCTCAATGTTGGGTCATGCTGCAGTTTAGTCAGACCAGAGACTCCGCGATGTCACAGCACCCTGAAAGAAGGCTTTCACTTGCTGCTTGTTCCATGAAAGAAGGCACTGTAAAATTGCCCAGAACATGTGGATGAGGGCAAATTTCATGGGTTTCTTCCACATCTGTGTAATGTTTCCTTAAAATGATGTAATGGTCCTTGCTTCTGACTTCTGTAGCAGCTGAAATTTTAAGAATATGTGAACTCAGAGCAATGCATTTAAAAAAAAACCATATGCGGCAAGTGTGACTGCAAAGTCTGAGCTTTCTTCAACATCCCTTTCAGTTTGACTTCTAAGAGTATCATCCGGAGTGCCTTCTCAGAGAGAAGAATGCTTTTCTGCTCAAAATGAACGTTGAACTTAAACTTGGTTTTAACACCTTTAAAAAAGTAAAAAAAAAAACCAAACCTGCAGTTTCTTAGTTTCAACCAAGATGTGTAAGTAGCAGGCTTTGGTGTAGACACACTGGTTTAAGTAGGTTCTCTAACCTCACTCTTTCTTTTTCTGATTATTTAATAGATGTTCAAATAAAGCCTCTGCAAATAGGCCTTCTGTTTGGCTTTTACCTCGTGGAGCTTTATCTGCAGGTAGGAGAAAGCTTTGCAGCAGGAGCAGGTTAGAGATCGGAGATAATCTGGGAATGATTCAGAAATTAAGGCATTGCTTTAGAGGGCTGACAGCCCACACTTTGGGTGGAAAATGGAAACAACTACAAGACTGGAAGTGAAAAAAAAATGAATATATGTGAAAGCTAATATAGGTGAGGTGGAAATAAAGTTAATGAGTTTATTCAAATCCTTCCAGCTCATGTATTTGCCCTTCTCTTGGAAGAGGGGGAAGGTCTGGCATACTAAATGACAAGTCTGGATGGCATTAGAAAAAATTGCAGCCTTGAAACTGAGTGGAAGGCCAGTGGGTATTTTTTTGCCAGCCCCTGAGGTTGAACCAGAAGGCTTACAGAGCACGTGCTTCCTCCAGTGTTTTGACACCGTATGAACTTGCTGAAACTCTGAAATGGAGAGCAATTAAGGACAGGGGCTTTTCTGGAAAATGGAATCAAATGAGATGTGGTTTCGTGGCAGAGTTGACTAGATTTTAGAGTTTGTGCTAAAGTAATGTTCTGAAATAAGCAGGAGGAATGCTACTCAATCTGTTGGACTTGAGTGAACTTCACTTTAAGTTGTGTATTGTTAGAGAGAATGGAAAATACTACAGGTTTTGTAAAAGGGTTAAGGAATGGGGTGAAGAGGAGACCTTTCTTCTTTAATCTCAGCACAGAAATGAAGTTCTTCTTAGCACTGAAATGAAGGTGAAACTAGATGTTTTGCTAGTAGATCGCAGTCTGTCCCTGCTGAGAGTGTCACCTTGAATCACAGATTTTGTGCTGTGGATTGAAATAGCCTTTGACATCAGCCCCACTGATGATCCATGCAGATGCTAATATGGAATATTGGATCATATGCTTTGGTTCCCTGTTGGATTCCTGAACAAAACTGACAAACAAGACCCGCTGAAGTGTTAAATGTATAAATAATAGAATTTAAGAATGCTGAATGCAATTATAAAGTTTGCTTTTACTTGTGAACTCTGTTTTCAGGGTTCTAAAGGAAGAACTTTTAGTGAAGCTAGGCTGATAAGTGCTCACCGCTGGAAGTTTGGATTCCTTTGAGGTGTACGTGAAGCATTTCTCTCCGAGGAACCTGAAGAGGAAAGCTAGTAAAATGAGTATGGTCTTGATGACAGCCTGGTAGCTTCTTCTAGAACCATAGATGCTGGTGAAATGGGAAAAATGAAAGACAGGCTGTCTCCTCTTTAGCACCAAAGCTAGGTGAGGTAGGATGGCGATTTCTGTATCCTTTTAGTAGTTACTTAGCTATGGGCTGAAATGATGGAGTGTGTACAGGTTTTAATTAAAAAAAAATGTGTCTGGAAGAGGGAATATTATGACCAGCTTCAGGGTTTGCTCATAGTCATTGTTTTCTCCTTTTCACTCGGTGTTTTGTGTTCATTAGGAAAGCTGGGAAGGCAGTTCCTAACAGGATGCTTTGTTCAGTAAATTCAGCCGCTCCACTCTGGTAGGAAACAGGGACAGGCAGCCAGCAACTCTTGACAAGGTTTTATCCTGAACTTTTCTTACAGATGCCTGAATAAGAATGAAAGATAATGAGACAGATAATTTTAACAGCAAACTTACTTGCCCCGCAAAAGACTTGCTCTGTCTCTGACCTTCAGTGCACAATTTTTTCTTACTGTTAACAAGCCAGGGTGTTAATCTGCAGTATCTAAAATAAAACTGGTGTTGTGTTTAGTTTGGCTTATAGCATCGCTTCAGTGCTTGGTTTACGAGAAGTAGAAGGGAGTTTTGTGGTGGGATGTGTGTGTACGTATGTGTGGTGGGGTTTTTTTTCCTTCCCACGCCCATCCTTGAGGCGGTTAGCTTGAGATTGTGATCTGTTTTAAGTCTTTTTCTCCCACCCTTTACCTCTTGTTAGTGATGTCTTTCCATATTTCTGGATTCATTTAAATGACTTTGAAAAGTGTTTGGCTTAATTAGCTATTTTTCCCAGAATTCAATACTTTATTCTTGTGTGGAGAAGTTCTTGCCTCAAGGTGTTTTTAATTTAAAAAAAAACCTAAACACTTTGCAAAAGTGAAGAAAACAAAAATCTTCAGTAGTTCTCTGCAGAAAGGAAGTGGTGTGAAAAACTCTCGGAGTTCAATTAACATTTTGGGTTTCAGTAGCAGGAAGACAGTTCCTGATGCTTGATTTTCTGATGAGCTTTTCAGTCTGGGGACAGCACCGTTGTCCCTGACAGTGAAAGGAACTATATAGTTTCTTGGCGTTAAGATGCTTGTTGGTAATGACTTGCACACAGGACAGGTCAGTAAGTCTGCAGGAATCCTTGGTGAGGTTGGTGGAAATATCCACAGATGAATGTGTGTTCAGTGCAGACAGCGTGCACAGTGTCAGGATGCTTGAGAACAAAGTAGAGATGCGGGGACAGAAAGTTCTGGTAGAAATAACCATTTCCTTAAGATAACTAGAAATTGGATATTTGCTGATGTTACTCAAAAAACATCAGCTGGGGATTTGGGGTAAAAAAAATTCCGTAATTCCAAATGAAGATGATTTCAATAACTTCCCTACATCTGATTTGATTTAGTGTGGTGGTATCTATACACACAGTGGCAGCTTTGGACTTGTTTTGTGTTCTGCATCATCTCGCTTGCTGCTTGCTTGCTTGTTGCTCAGTGACTGACCTGGCTTTGCTCACCAGCTGTGGTGACTGAAGAGCTGAGAGATGTCACCTCAATCCTAGCCCTGCGCATCTGTTTAGTGCCCTGCTCTGTGACAGCTGAGAAGGGTTGCTGTTGAGTCTAGGATGCCCTTAGCTAGAAATTAGTTTAAACCCTGCATAGGGTCTTTACCTTTCTGCAGAGAGGGTCCTGCTCTTGGCCTCCCAAAGCGTAGCGTAACCTGGCATCTAACCGCCTGCCATATAAATTAAATCCTGTGCAAAGGACGGGGAGAGGATATGCAGGGGTTGGGTAGTTATACCATCGCTAATCAACACATCAGTGAACATGCCACATGGAATAAAGATAATGGAAACTTTTTAGCTATTTAACAAGGTATAAAACCTGTTATTAAGAAGTCAAGGTTGTATCCTCTTGTACAACAAAACATACTAAAGTGTTTTCTTCTTTTTAGTCCAAGTGGTAAGAAGTTCAGAAGCAAGCCTCAGTTGGCAAGATACCTGGGGAACACTGTTGATCTCAGCAGTTTTGACTTCAGAACGGGAAAGATGATGCCCAGTAAATTGCAGAAGAACAAACAGAGACTAAGGAATGATTCTCTCAATCAAAATAAGGTTTGTTAGTAACTACTGTGTTTAAGGATATCCTAAGAATTTCCTTTCCTGTAGTTCATTTAGCAATTTATTTTCTGCTTAAAGCAGTCCGCTTACTAAGATGTACATGTATGTTTAATTTTTGGTAGTGGTAGAGACATAAATTTATAAATAGAAGGAATACTCTGCTACTACCAATAAAATATCAAGGTGAGGTTAAGTATGAACACAAAGTTTGAGTAATTCAGGAGTTGGCTTGGGACTTAAGAACCTCAATGCTAGTCATCTACCTGAACGCTGTTCTTCTAAATGGGGAAAGTTAGGACTCTTAACACCAAGAAATTCCTCTGTGCAAGGCTTCAAATTGCTATGTTCATCTTCCTGTTCTGAGATGAAATCGTTTCACATCTTTAATGTGTGCACAATGTGCCGAGAAGCTTGTTTTCTGAGGCAGATGTGTTTATCTGCACAAATCTGGACGTCTGTGTACAGCTACGTAGATGAACAAGGCCAGGTGATTTTCTGGTTAATCTTGGGCCTTTCTCAGTTGATCTGATTGTTCTCTCACTGTCTATTTTTGTACAACAGTGTATCCTTTGGAATACTGAAGAAAATGTGTTTGGTAGATTCAAAATAAAAGTCTGAAGCCTACAGTAGTGAAATGACTGATGTAGCACACAGGGACGTGACAAGTAAATTTTGCTGACTCCCAGATGGTAATAATATGTTCATGGACAAACTTTAGAAACCTCGTACAAGAGTTTGCAGGGATTTCTGTAGCAACCTGCAACGTTTTCTTTTTAAAATTTTATTCTTTAGGATTTCATAACTTTCAGTAGAGTATGAGAATACCTAACAGGTTATAGCTATGTCTTGTGCACTGACGGTTTTCTTTTTCATCTGCCATTTGTAAAGCGTGAACCACACATTTCATACTGATTTCTTTTTTTATTTAAGGCATGTGTTCAAATTATTTAATATTTTATTCCCACAGATGTGAGGCTTTCAGATAATATAACATTTGGGGATAGTCCAGGGAAGGGTTTTGGTTAGGCTTTTTGCATGAGCAGGAATTACAAGATTTGGTATGTAAAGTTTAGATGAGTCAGTGCGCACTTTGTATTCCTCTGATCTTAGATGACTTGAATGTTGCTCACAGCACCTCTATTAAATACAAGATTAGAAAAAAATGCTTTTTTTTTTTTAAGCTAAATTCTGTTTATTATTTCTAAGTGACTGAATCTGTAACTCGTGAGCTTTCAAGAACTTCTGCAGTATTCCTGTGATAGTTAAAAATGAGATCTCAACTTATTCCTGAAGTTTTGTTCCACAGACACTGTTAAGAGATCGGTTGTGGTCGTCTCCTAGTCCGCCTTGCAGCTGTGCTGCTGGGGGGCCATCAAAGACAGACTTGCAAAGGCAAGTTTGTATGTAAACTTGCTCATATTTTATGGCTTGTTTGTTTTTGTACAAACAATTTACCACAAATGTTTTAAAATTCTTTGGCTGCCTTTATGTTTCAAGAAGGAATATGAAAATATACTTCAGTCTTCTTTCTCGGACTTGTCCGGGCGGTTAGATTTATGCAGCTGGGGATGGAAATGCTCTCTTGCCATATGTCTAATTTTTGAGATTCTCATCGTTAGCAGAATAGAACTCAATGTCCAGACTGACATACTAGTGCCACTTGGCTTGAAAGGGAATGCAGGATGCTGTCTGCTAATGGCTGCTCTTCATTTTGTGATGTGAATGTACAACAGTGTAAATGACATGGAAATATTCTTCTAGCAAAATACTTCTCTCCAGTCTCAGCATTGTGCTTTCTTCCTGACCTTTCGGTGTTGGCACTAAAGGCCTGTGTTTGGTAGGTTTATTTACGGTAGAGCCACGGGAGGAGTTTTGCTTCAGCCTGTACTAATCTTGCCATTGTTTTCTGTGTAACCATTTTTACATTTCGCTTGCAAATTACGCTATTTTATTTCTTTGAAGTGCTTTTGAAGAGACAATGAAGTAAGGAATTTAATTGAATATAAACCCGGTAGATACAGCATACTGCTGTGCTTATAAAAACATGGTTATTGATTCTTTCTATTAAAAAAAAAAGTAGAGACTAGTGGTTAAACATGCTGTCTGGTTAGAAGTGACTTCTTAGGTTAAAGGATTTGAAAGGCCTGGAAATACATTGATGAGTTTTAAAAATGTTTCTATGTCTGGGGCATGTTGATGCTGCTGGAAATATATGTCTCTGGAAAGGCAGTGGGCTGAAATTCTTTTGGTTGGGAGGATCTTTGTTGCTTATTTCTATTAGGATGTGCCTGAAGCTTTTCCTTTGTCATTAATAAGTCTTTATATATGGCTGGCTTATGATTTGTTGTGAAAAAGAGTTTCTCTGAGTATCAATCACCTCCTGTTGACGTGTGATATTTTTTTTCCCTGTATATCTGAAGATCAGCAGGTGCTGGAGATGGGGGAGCTTAACAAGTATCTGTACTAAAGAGTTAATTTCTGTTGTTCAAAACTTGGTGCCACAAATGAGAGACTGTGATTAGGAAGGAAATTAAGTGGGAAGGTAGTAAGATGGTAATTACAGTACTTAGGAATTGATCTGTTCTTAGTTTAAACAGTTTATCCTAATGACCGTTTTCTGGTATGTAGCCTTGACTAAAAGTATTTAGCACATGTACCCCTTGAACCTGTATTTCCTGCATAATTTATAACTCACCAGGGTTCTGCTTCATTCTGGGGAATGTATCATTAATATAGATTAATTTTCTTAATTTCTCACACTGCCTGGAGGAATCTCCCTTTTTATTTTTCTAACTTTAATGGATTTATTTTTTTAACTTCTCTTTAAGTCACATTACAGGCTAAGAGCAACCTGTCAATATTTTTCATGAACTTGAAACCAAGACCTTTCTTCTAGAAATGTTTGCTAAACCAGATTTATCCCACACATGGCAGGTGGCTCTGTAATAGCGTTGGTTTTGTCAGTTTTAATAGCTATTTTACCACTAGTGCTGATGCTATGGCACAGAATGCCCTGGGGGCATGGACTTCAAAGCTTCAACTACTACTTTGAACTTGATGTCACAAGATCAGGGAATTCGAAGCTCGGAGAAGCTCGTAGGAAAGGCAAGGTCTGTCAAGGTTCTGCTGTGAATTAAGTTATGTGGCATGAGGAAAGTTCATTGTCTAAATACTTTCTGTAAATTTGAGCGTATGCAATTACTGTCTGGCTCTGGTTGGTGATTTTGTGCTCATCAGAGATGCTACAATTATGAAATATGTATGAAAATGTCTAACATTAGACTTACTGTTATCATCAGTAGGGAAAAAAATAGAGCCCAGCATCCACCATGCAAAGCACGTGTTAAAAGCAAAGCATCTGAAAATATTTTTCTGGTGGACTGGGACTACCCGGGTGAAACATTAGGAGCAGATTGATGTCTGGATTTATTTATAAGCTTAGATTCTCTTTTTTTGTATAAAAAGATCCCAGGACTTCTGTGCTAATTGAATGGTAATTTATCTGGTTAGTTAAAACTATTAAGTGTAATCAGGCAGAAGTACTCATGCTCTGGCCATGGAAACCCTGGTCCCAGTTAGGCAATAATCAACAGCGTGGTAGGGATGGAGCTGGAGGGGGAGATCTCTGAACGTACGCTGCTTTTCCCGTTTGAAAGCAGTGATATTGCAAGACGTGGAGATGGGTTAGTTTGTTGCTGTAAGTTTATAAACCAGATAAATGCCTGAATTTCTGAGGAAAACTTCCATTGGAGTTTGTGGGTTTAGCCTTATTGTATTTTAATGAGCTAAGTGCTACCTGGAAACGATGAAGCAAGGGGACCTACAAAATAACAAGGTTTATTTAAAGGAGTGGTAGGAATTGCTTCCATTGAAAATAAGAGATATCTAGAACTCCTTCAGAATTCACCTGTGTGTTCTAGTGCAGTCTGGAAAATTGTTTTGGCTTCTGTGAGAGGATGAGCAAGTCAGTACTAAGCAAGGATTCCCAAAATGCTATCACACTGAATTATAAACGAGTGCATGGATGGAGTCGTGCTGTTGAATAGCTACGAATATGCATAGCACCCTCAAGAAATCACTTTCTTTGCCATCTGCATGAAAGATTGAGGCCTGAAAATTTCAAACCATCCTTTCATTTAGGTTATGTTGAGATTTCTTCATGAATATGAAGCGTTATTCTGTTGCTCCTTCCTAACAGTTCCATTCCTTAGAATTTCATGGAGGAATTCCTTATTTTTTCTACCAAGAAGGATCTAATAGCTCTGTGTCATCCTGGACAGGCTACAGAAAGAGGATCCTGCCTTGCCTGTCCCCCCACCCAACAGATGACTCAAATAGATGGATAGGAGAAGCCGATAGAATAACCACTGTACTGTGTGAGGATGTGTTTTGGGATTAAGTGGCTTGCCTGTAGAATGGTCTTCACAATGAAAATTACTTTCTGTGGAGTGCAGAGGTGATATTCCCTTTATTGCTAGTTTATAGATTATCCACTGTATGTGTACAGGAAGGATGACTTCTCACTCCCTTCCTCGTCTGCCACCCACCTTGCCATAACAGAGGTGTGCTAAAATACAGGACATTCTGGCAATGGAGCAACTAGGATAGTTGGGATAAGTGTTATTTTTTTTTTTCTTTAAAATGGGTGACTGCAAAGGTTAGTTAAGTACACTATTTAAGGGAAATATTTCCTCCAAAAAAATCCTCCTTCTTTTCCATATTGGTATAAGAAGGTGAATCCAACGTTACTTTGTGTAATTTTTTCTGTATAATTTTTGTTAATTCACTTTTTTCTTTTTCTTTTTTTTTTTTTTTTTTTTTTTTTTTTTTTTTTTTAAACAGGGAAAACCAGACTTAAATACAACTCTACCGATCAGACAAACTGCATCAATTTTCAAACAACCGGTCACCAAAGTTACAAACCATCCTAGTAACAAAGTACGATCTGATCCGCAGCGAGTGACGGAGCAGCCACGACAGGTAGGAATTAATTTATTGCCATTGTTACTGCTCAGAAAGTTGAAACAAGCTTGAAAATGTGCTTGTTTTCAGCTGTGCTTCAATTACAGATGAGAATTCATATCTTGCAGATAAAAATATGTGTAATACGTACATTTAAAAAAAAATACCGAAATAACAGGCAGTTCATATGGAGATCAATTTTTCTTAATCCAAAACTTCATTCATATTTGATTACTGCATTCCTTTTGAAATTCAGATATATCCTATACTGTCACAATTGGACATCAAATATAAAAAAAATTTTCGTGTTCAGTTTCTAAATAGAAGTGTCTATAAAATACACCATTCTCGTCAGGAAGTAATCTCTCTCTTTTATATGGAAGAACTTTGTGCAAAATCAATAAAAATGTGTATTTTAAATCCCTCTCTTTCACTCTACTACTATTACTATGAATACAGAGCACAGTAACATAAACTCACCTTATACGAGTTCTCCCTGAGCTGCTTTTCTTTACGTCAATGTCAGATCGCCTGGTCACGCGATGCTTTTTTGGTTTTGTGTTTTATGGGGAGGAGGGAGCTGAGGAGAAATGAAATCTAGTTAATGAACAAATGATCAGCTGGGTAATGTCGTGTATATTGGATTGAGGTATTGTTTTTAAGTCTGACTTGTATTTTTTGAGTCGTAGCATTACCACTGTCAAGTAGAAAGTCCTTATTCTATTTTAGGAGTGCAGGGATGAGAAGACAATGCAGAGGCATGTTCAAATGTTTGTCCACTTCTATGTCACTAACTTCTAACAACGTTTCTCTTGAAACTCAAGCTGTCTCTAATGTTGCACTTTGAAACATCTTGAATGCTGTTCTTGTAAGAAATAACATAAGGAATTTAGACTCTGCATCCTCTAAATTCAGGTGAGAAAGAAAAAGAAGAAATATCGAGCCGTATTGGATCATCTCGTTGAGATGTCTTTTAGCAAGATTTGAAGGCCTCAGCTAACCTCACTGTTGGTCCCATGAAGTTCAACAGGGGCCATGTAAGTGTATCACGTTCAGATCTAAAAGATGCATAATTGCATGTGTCTGTTGATTCTCTTCACATGCTTTGGGTTTTCCTTTTGAACTACTACACTTTGTGTGGCAGCGATTTCCTTTTGGTCATGTCTGCCGAACCACTGCTAATCACCAAAGCGTACGAAAGTCGTGTCACCTTTGTGGCAAGAGAAATGGATGTCTGGCAGTTCATATCTTGATGGATTCCAAACCCTTTCATGCTTGCCTGTTTTCTCACAATTTTCTTTCTTCCAGGATCTTTTCTTCAAATTTGTAGTGACCGAAATCTGTGGAAATGCATCCCTTGTCTTCTGGGAATGACTGTGCAGTAAATATTTGCAGAATAGGCTATTTCTAAACCTACTCAAGTTTACTCTTTGCCTCCTTAAAATTAAAATAGGTTCTAATGTTTCAAGCCTACAGCAAGACCTTCAAGAAGTCATCCTCTGGTGACCACTGTGTCAGCATTCTTTTTCAGTCAAGTTCCTTTCTCCTTGCTTGCAACAGTGCATCTTTGGGAGAGGACACTATTCTTATTCTGTATTGACATATTTCATTTGGAAAACATGCTAGTTCTGTTTGCATTGACTGTGGAATAGTTAATCTTCCTGTGTCTTGCTCTTGTTTTTCTCCAAGCTAGAATGCTGCCTTGAGCTATGTTCTGGTTTGTCTTGGTTCTGAGCGGTGGTGATTGACATAGGTAGGAGACTTGGGCAACGGAGAGAATATATTGCTACAGTTGTTTTTATAAAAATTTGAGTGAGTTTTCAGTAAAATTTTCATTACAAAATGTGGAACAAAGCCATTTAATGTAGGTAGCTGTCAGTTACTTAAGCAAATTGACAGCTTTCATAAACAATTTCCATTGATCTGGTTTCTTTACACACAGATTTCCATTGTACAATTATCAATATTTCTTGGGTATTAGTAACTAAAAGTATGGAGGCAGTCCAGTCATTGATCATGTGTGCACCCTTCAGACATACATACGTAGGTGCGTGCACATGCATGTCTTGTTTGAACATAGCACGCGACTAATTCTGATGTTTTACTTGCTACCTGGAGCCAAAGTATTAGTCAATACAACCTTTGCTTGGTTTTCAAGAAGCAATGATTCTTCATCTGTTGAGATAAAGAAGAGAAGCCAGGGTGAGGGCTGAAGGTGCTGGGAAAGTTTATTCTTAATAAAGCCTGCACCATGTAGAACACCTGTCACTTGGGATACAGTTATTGGACAAGTGCAACTTTGCAAATGTATTGTCATTCTCTTCCCCTCCAGATAAAGCCTATTTTTTCATTACATAAATAATCCCTACATGTATCACTGTCTTCTCCTTCCATCATACTCAGGTGTGCAAACTTTGCTGTACGTAGACTGTAAATATGTCAGTGTTGGATATTCAAGTGAATGCTGAAACACTGACTATATTGCCTGTTTGTGTATACAGCTTATTCATTTACCACTTCCAGTGTCATTCCTCCCTGTTCCTTCAATCCTTGGCCCAAATCCCTCAAAGGATCCTTTCCTCTGTCGTTCTAGATATCCATCTCTGAAAGCTTTATCTGCTTATATCTACTGTATCTCCCTCTTTAAAAGACAGTCTAACCAGAATTCCTTGAAATTTATCTTTGGCCTGCCTCCTTTTTCAGGCATGAAAATAAAGGAGTACTGTAGTTCCTTTGGCAGTCAGTACTTTTTTCATGACCTGAGAGTGAGAAGACATGCCTATTGGTGTTGGCAGGGAAGCTGTTTGGCAGCAAGTCTTCTTTAAGCAGCAAACCCTCTGGTAGTTCTTGGAAAGAAACTAATAACAGCTTGCCTATGATCTTTGTATAGGTAAATCTGTCAATTAGAGCCACTGATCTTTTTGGCAACTGCTGGTTCCATATATTCAGCAAGCTATCTGATTGCACACAGGAAGCGTCACAAGGTTATCTAAGCCTTTGCCAAGCAACAGCTCTGTGAGGCAGCATCTTAAAGCTTTCAAAGCCGTTCTTAAAGGTTTTGTAGATCACTGAGTGGAGAACTTTACCCAAGAAAAAATGGAAATGTTCTGGAGAATCGTGGAAGTGGTGTCAGAACTTGAGATGTGTGTGTACGCATCCATGCTCTGAAGGCTCTTCTGGTACTCGCTAGGCTTCTCTCTTCTTAACTATCAGTCTTCTTCCTCTAAGTGGGTTTTGTTCGGATACCAGTAACAGTCAATCCACAGAGATTTCTCAAATTCTTCATATCTAGTCAAATGGGTTATCTGTAAACTCCTAAATAGCAAGTCTGGTGGCCTCAGTCGCAGTTTTCTTCAAAGCGCTTTAACATCTCTTTTTGAAGCATCAGCCTGCTGCAAATATTTTGACTCTCCATATGCTCACTTAAGACAGGTTTTCTTACTCTTTCTGTAGTCTGGGTTTTTTTTCCTCTCACAGAGTCCACTGATAAACCAATGTAAGAAGAGGAATCCTGAAAGATTGCTAGTGTGCCCTGCAAGGAAAGAAAAGGAAAAAACCCCTTAAACCCCCTTGTTTTAGCCTCCTCTCCTCTCCTTGCTGCTTCCAAGTGAGTTTCAATGATCCATTCTTGATGAATAGAAGAGTAATGGTTTGATTTTAAAAAGCCAAACTAGCATTGCTGAAATTGAAACTGGAATTACTGATGAACCGAAAAAATCATGCAACTGCATCTGTCATCTTCTTCGTGGGTGGTGTTGAGTATTGTCTTAAAATCCCTCCCTCCTTCTCGTTTAGCCGAAAGGCCGTGAGATGCAGCAGTGCTTGAGGGCACATTAACGCTCCACTTGTGCATCTGGATTTGAGGATTCCTCAGTGGGAAGAGTCGATATGAAGGAGAGGAAGTCCTGTAACTGTTTGAAACTACTATAGGCAGTAAATCTTTTGTGTGATCACTTAAACTTGAGTTACTTGCCTGACAAGTGTTCTGTACCTAGCTGGATCACATGGAATGGTGCTGCAAACCAGACTTCTTTCTGATGGGTCGCTGCCCTTTGTACCTACACTCGGTGTCTCAAAAAGGTCCAAGTCCATGTCCTGTGTTTATCCTCCTCTTCATGTGTTAGATCTTCTTGGTTCACACTGTTCCACACTTATTGACCTTTTTCAGGCTAAATACCAAGGTAAATACGAAGCCCTCCGAACATACGGTACCTGAGGGATTGCTTTGAGAGAGCTGAGGCCCCGCTGATTTAATTTGATGGTGTAATTCTGTTGTGTACTGTTGGTTGCAGTGGTAGGGATATTTGAAACCATGCATGTAAAACTGATGTTTGTGTAAGTGATAATCGTAACGCTGAATTTACAAAATGTTGACCTTGGTATCTTCCTGATACACTTGACTAAGAACGTTCCTTGAACGTACCCTGAGTGTTTAAAAGAAGGCCATCTGTCTCTCTTTTGGAGAAAATCAGGTAGTCAGTGTTAGGTGATCTGATTCCTCTAGTTCTGTGGCAGACAACCACCTTTAAAAAACACGTTAGGATGTATCTGATGTATTTCCTTATACCATCATCTGTCTGTAGGGCAGAAGTACTCTAAAATTGATTCAAAAGTCTCTTTTATGCCTACTGTCATATATATTTGCAGTGGATTGTGTTGTAATGGATTATTGAATAGGATTATATATGACAAGCTAAACTGGCCGTGGTAATTTTTTGGCATAAGATATATGCAGCCTAAAAAGCCTCATTTACAAGAAAAATTGCAGGATGTCATTTTATATGTGTCTTCTTGTGAACAGTTCTTAACAAGAAAGATGTATTTAGCTCTTAGCACTTTGTATTTTGTCAGTAGATGTGGTTTTATTTCCTGTGGATCCAATGAAAGGATTGGAATCTACAATCAGATAGGGTTGGAAAACTGCAGCTTCTTGGTTAATATAAAAATTAGGGATGGAAGGAACCCAGAGAGATTAAGTTTCATCTCCCTCTCCCAGGCAACTAAAGGAACACTGAAATTTTGATTGACAATTATGGGTGCAGCAGAGCTTAGCAACTCAGCAACTGGATATAAAAAGAGGAAAGAAGTTTTACAGTTCCCATTCTGGTCTCGCTTAGCCTTTAAAACACATTTTAAAACATAACAAAATTGTAGGCAGTGTCTGCAGTACAGTATAGATACGTTAACTGTGTTTTGTGTAGACATGACTAACTTTTAATCAGCTTGCATACCAGCTTATAACGCATCTGTGAGCATCTTGCTGCGTCCATCATACTTCTGGATTAGATGGTAGCTTTTCCTTGCTGCTGGGGTAAGTTAAGAGCAGATTTCTGTAGCTGACTAAATAGAAGAAACCACCTCAGTAAACACATCTCTGAACTCACCAACTCATCATTGTCCTTCTGTGTGTCCACTCAAGTACATCCTCTTGACATCTACAGTATTTTCAATGGTCTCTAAATAGTGAATGGCAGGTGAAATTTGGGATTCTTGATTGATTGATTTATGTATAAATCAGTCACCGTCCAAGAATGTTTGAGCATTAAGAACATATGTGCTTTTCTTTTAAAAATAATAGAATTGGAATGGATTCCTCTCCAGCAAAAATTTCCTGTAGGCTTCCATTGCTTGAGCAACTGCAAATGGACTTTTATCTATCTAAGGAAAAAGAGCAGCCTGTAAAATATTTGTATTTGGTGGTTCATGCAATAGTGAGGCTAATCTATCATTTCTTTGTTGTCTGATTGAGAAATCATAGTTGTTTAGGAGATTGTGTTTTTACAGAGATTACAGGTTAGATTATAGTTCACCATTAGTCACAAATACCTTTTCTTGGACAAGAAACAATTATGGGGGAAACAATATTTTATAATTCTCCAAACAAAGAGCTTCAGAAGCACAGCTGTAGTACAGCTCTGCCGTTACGGATTTTCAGAACAAGGAGGAAGTGAAAATTCTGCTCCACCCTGGGGACCTTGGCATTGCATTCCTGTGCTGCCTCCTCTGCCACAGGAAAAAAAACAAAACAAAAAACCAGGGGTGTTAAGGGGGGATATATTTCTTGCTTGGCAGGAGATTGTTGCGTAAGAGGTCACCTCTGGCATAATGCATATTGATTAGTTCCCTAGGAAATGGAGCACTCGGCTGCTGGGTCTTTCTGAACCTAGAACGGTCACACAGCGGTAAATGAAGGATCTGGGTTTTCAGCTCTTTTCAGTGCATGTTCCCTAACCGCTACTTCAAGCAAAACTGAAATAGAACCGTTTTTCATGCTCCAACAGGATGAATGCCCATAACTGACTGATGAATCCTCAGCATGGTTATTCATTTTGGATTAGTAATGAAATACCTCATCATAACAATGACGAATCTTGAACTCCAGTTCTTCTCTCCTTCCTTCCTATCCCGGTCCCTTTAGATTCTCTTATGGAATAACAGGGTCTTGTGTTTGCTAATGCTGCTTTTCTGGAGGCAGGAATCTTGCTTTTCTGGCTGTACTGGTGCATTCTCAGCAGGAGGAAGGAAGATGGGAGCGTATCAACCTTCCCAGTGCTTCAGGGATTGCAGCACTCTCCAGCGTGCTCAAGCTGAAAAAAGCCTAGAGCTGGAATAGCTCGCTCTGTTTTAGCAGGAAACCTCTGCTTGTGAGGTGATGTAAGGTTATGATGGAGGAGAGCAAGTTAAATAATATAAGCTATTTTTAAGGCTGTGATATTTTGCGCATCAAGACTTACATAATCTTTTTCAGTTACTTGAGTGCATATTTCCATTGCTGTGGAATGGTCGCATCTTCATCATGTAAGTGGAGTAACAGAAAAACTTTGTTTGAATTTATGTTAGCATCTTCGTTCTCTCACTTTCGCTGTCCCTTAATGCTTGTTCCTGGTGCAGCTGATAGGAAAATACTTGTCCAGGTCTGCTCCAGCTCAGAATCTTCAGTAAGATCCAGGAAAGGATACAGGGGTTCAGAGGGGACTCGTAAGAACCCATAAAGGGCTGGGGAACAACAAACTCCAGGAATGTGATTCACTTCTGAGCAAAAAAACTAGTAAGAATGACTTGTGCAGTCTCAGTGGCGATCTGGGGAGATGAAAATTTGGAGCACAGTCATTGTCATTTGCAAATAATTACATATAAAGGTGCTGGAAGCTGGTGCTGGATATTTTGTGCTAGGAGTATGCTTTGATTCAGTCTTGTTTAACAGGTATGTCTAAGTGCCAAGTGCTTTTTTCTACCTGACCTCGAAGTTATCTGAGATGTTGGTGGTTGTATAGACTATGTATTGTCCAGAGAAGAGTGCTTAAGTAACTGGGTCTCTATAAAATGACATGGTAATCTCTCAGGCAACATAAATATAATTCAATATCATTCAGGTATCAGTCAGCCTACTGGTTCATAAAGCTGTACAGACACGTTGTGGAGAGTATTGCATTTTTCTTAGCAAAACTGCATGTTTTATTTTCAGTCAGTAGTATACTCTTAATGCTAAAGTAGATGAGAATCTCAACATGAACCGGCAACGTGCGCTCGCAGTCCAGAAAGCCAACCGTGTCCTGGGCTGTATCACCAGCAGCGTGACCAGCATCAAGGGAGGGGATTCTTCTGCTTCACTTCTGATGTCGTATGACAAAGTTCCACAGAAGATGAAAGAGGATGCTCTCGCTGTTTCACTTCCAATTTCAGAGCAGAACGTGACATTCAAAAGCCCTATCTTAAACGGAGGCTTTTGGATACCTAGCTGCAACAAAGAATTTCCTAGGAATGAGAATAACTGCTTGTCTAGTTATTCTATTCAGGCATGAAAAGAAAGATTTATTTTTTTTTCCCTCCCCCATGTCCTGCAGAAAAAATCAAACTATTTCTGAATGTCCTTTCCACAGGGAGTTGCATAGCTGTGTTCTTGCTTACCTCCTTATTATTTGTTAAATGTAGCTTCCCGTGGAATGGAAATCAACTTTTTAACTAGCTTTCATCACTATCTTGCTAAATAGATAGGCTCATTTTAAAGAAGAGTTGTGGCTAGTCTCCAGCTCAGAACATCAGGATGAATCTTCAGACCAGCAAGATAGGAAGGAGTAAGGAAATCCATATCATTAAACAAAAATCTCTTAGGTTAAGAAATTAGTTTCTTTGGGAAATGGAAGTGTGTTCCCACCTAATAAACAAAGCAATAGAAAGCAAAATTAATATGAATTTAGTTCATGTATCTTCCTAAAAGTGAAAAGGTTTGATTCTATTTCCAGATAGGTCAGGAGATCTATGCAGCATCGGAAGGGGCCAGGTTATCAAGCCAGCACAGGGCTGAAGTGGCGTAGCTGCTGGTTAGCATTTGTGTTGGTGCAGCTGTACTGCTCCAGGATGCTGACCTGTCTCCAGTGTCTCACCACACATGGCATAATTCTGTACAAGCATCTTCCTGATGGCTAAAACTCCATCAGCAGATTTTGGTAGCTTGCGTGACCGTTAGGTTGATTATTTATAAGCTGCTAGGCACTATCTGTCTTTTGTTGCTTTGATACTGTTGTGATCATGAATGCTGTTTATATCCATGAGCTGATTTAGGGGTTTTTTTAATTATTATTTCTAATGAGCAATCTTGTTTTCTCTTTTTCAGCTTTTCTGGGAGAAGAGGCTACAAGGCCTCAGCGCATCGGATGTCAGTGAGCAAATCATAAAATCCATGGAGCTGCCTAAAGGTCTTCAAGGTACTGTGTTCGCATACTGCAGTTGCTTCAAATCCACAGAGTTACTTGTGCTTAAAAAGGACGGGGTTTTTGATGATCTTAACAAGTTTTCAATTTACGGTCAGATTAAGTAAACTTCAAATTGTAAATGTTCTCGCTGACAAAATACCTCAGTCTCCAGAAAAATGTTTATTTTTCATTCATTTCTGTTGTTAATATAAACCACACTTCAAAGCTGCACTCTTAGTGGTGAAAGTTGATCTAAAATGTGTTCAAGTCATAGTTCAGAATTAAAAACTTTGTTCCACTGTTCCACTGCTTGGGAGATTTTCTTGGGAATATGAGTTATAAAAATCTCCAGTGTTTATTTTCCAGAATTAATTTAACACCTTGTAGCATTAAAGCAAAGCCTGTGGCTGGTGTGGATTAATACCATGAAGCTGCAAAGAACATATTTCAATATGTGACTGATAAATTTATGATATGATAATCCTTATTTAAAGATTGATTGTAATCATGAGTGTACATAACCCTTACAAACTGAGAAGAGCTGTGCCACTGGAAGTTGCGTATGAAATGCAAATGGTAACTATTCAGTTATCTTTGTTTCAGGAGTTGGCCCGGGTAACAACGACGATACCCTGTTATCAGCTGTCGCTAGTGCTTTGCACACCAGTACGGCACCCATCACGGGGCAGCTCTCTGCTGCTGTTGAGAAGAACCCGGCCGTCTGGCTCAATACATCTCAACCCCTCTGCAAAGCTTTCATTGTCACGGATGATGACATTAGGTAAGCCTTCAATAAAACAAAAAGCAAATTCAGTTAAAGTAGATTCCTTCCTGGCTCAGTGCAGTCCTGGAGATAAGGGAACAGAAGTGTGAACATTTTGCTTGTATCTGTTGATTGGTTCAGTAGCTTGAAAAAATGAAAACCTGGGTTCTCTCTTTGTGGTCAAAATAGTAATATAAAATATTCACTAAGGTATGAGTCATAATCTACATTTCCTTTCCCAAGACAGTACCTTAAACATTAAGCTGTAGTCATGGTCGATATTGGCTTTTTTCCTTTCCATTTCTGGTTTGGTCGAGTTAATTTGTTGATCTCAGTTGTCATTTCAACACAGGAGAATAAGAATATTCCCCCACAGCACATAGATTTGTGGCTGATACACTCTCTTTAAGTGGGAGGTTGGGATGCGATATAAAGAGCACACAGATAGATCTGTTCATGTACGGGCAGAGATTTTGTTTTTCAACAGCTGCACTGTTGATGTTGTTTTCAAAGAAAGACTCGTCCTTTTTTGGGCACTAAAAGCAGGGGCTTCAGCACTGAATTTCAAGGTAAGGACTGAGTGAAGAAAGAGATTTCTTGTTGCATTGACTAATTGCCAGAGTATGGCATGACACAGGACACACTCCTGTCACCCAATTTTTTTTAGTATTGCTTAGCATCAATCAACACGTGGGATGAACATTGCTGTTAGTATCAGATTTTTGGTTAAGTTCTAGGTTCACGTTTGGTTCTGAGGACCAAACGTGAATCTTGACACTTAGTGGAATTCACTCAAAGTCCACTACTAGTGTGTTCTTTTCTAATCCCCAGATGGCTAGTTGAAGCTCCTGCAGTGCTAATGTTAAGGTATAAAATTATTTTATTCCCAGTCCTTTGCTTTGGGATTTACTCTGCTTTATTTTCTTAAACACGAACTTGAAATGCTTTCAGAAGGTAAACTCTTCTTGCTTTGTTACAGAAAGTTACAGGGCAGGATGAGAAACTTTCTTAGCATGTTTCACAACTTTTTATTACTGGAAACAAAATTCCTTTTTTGTCTTATCAGTCATTCTGTGGATTTTACAAAGCAGATTCTACTTTGATGTCAGAGAGTACTGGCGACTCAGGAAGGACACAGATTCTGAACTGGAGCAGCTCTGCCTCTCTGAATGTGCTGCCAGTTAGGTGTCTGTTCTGCTCTGTGACTGTGTAGGCAGCTCACAACAAAAGGATTAAATATTCTTAAACCTTACCCTTTCATACTGTTTCTGTGAAGCTGGCTTTCATTTTCAGACCATCCAGAAAGCACATTGCGTGAAGAAGCGCTATCGGAACACAGCACCTGTTATCGCTAAGGAAAGCACTACAGTTGCTTTCTGAACATACATAATGGTGAGGAAAAGTTCGCCATTGGGGATATCCAGTCAGGTGCCAGAGTATATTCTTTTGTACTATAAATTCTTCAGGGAGATCATAGCACTTGTTTACATCTAATAAAATAGCTGTCGGCTTGACTCATGTTTAACTTGAAGTATTCCTGGTCGTATCACGAAGGTAAATCTCTTTCATTGTCAGAGTAAAATGCAAAAAGGAAATTTTGCATTTTAGCGTTAAATAATCTCCAATAAATGCATGGTTAAGAAGCAACCGTGCTTCCTTGTCACTACAGACAAGCATCTGTATTTTTCTCAGTTGTGGGTACACCTTCAGAATAGTTCTGGGCTGCTGAATGCTAGTCCTGTGAAAGGTAAGTGTGTAAAGTGAGTGTGGTGTGGTTCCCGCTGGTCTTTACACCCAAGTCTTAGTCTCCTGAGGCAGGCTTTTCGAATTCCCTGTTAACTGAGTCTGTGAGAGTATTTATCTTGAGACTGCTCCTTTGCTTTAACATCTGGTTATGTTCTTTGCGACTGCACTGGTGAGTTGCCTCCATCTCCGTGAAAGGCTGAGGGTGAGATCCTTTGTGTCTCTGCTAGAGAAATGCTTTAATCCGTTTCTCTCTTTTGGGATGAACTGGGGAATGGTATCTTCTGAAAATAATGACTAAGTGGGTTGTTTTTTCTGGTTATGCTTAGGTGGATGAAGTTTTGCAATATATTATAAAATTGGTTTTTGACCCGCAGCTCTGTTCTGCTTCGTAGTCCAGTCTATCATTCTTCTCAGATGTCTCTCTCTTTAGTGGAATTTTCTAAAGCTTATTGTTTTCAGGGGATTTCTTTTCCTAAAGCGTGTAAGTCATCTCTGAAAATCCCACCTTTCAGTTTTCAACAGCGCTTTCTCGTGCTCAGTCTAGGTTCTTCGCTGAGCTCTTGCCATCACCCAGTAGGTTTTGTTCCTGAGCTTTCTCGGGTATCTTGACAATTGTCCTTTTCAAATAACATGGTAATGGGACTTCTGCTTTTTCTTATGGGTAGCCATAACCTGTTCAATTTACCAAAGCATAACAATTAATGTAGGATGTCTGGCTGTGTCGTGCTCTGCACAGTAGTTAATCTGTCCAGAAACTAATTTGTATTTAACAACGAGACAGGAGTGGAGGATAATTCAGGTTTAATGCTCTCTAACTTTGTTTGATGGGAGTTTAAGAGTGTCTCAGTCTTAAGCTCTATGAACCTTGATCCAAACTAGTCAGCTGCAGCGTAGTCTCTCTCCATATTCCTCAATACCCCATACAAATCTCACTTCCCATGTGACAGACGAAAGCCACTATAATGTGCCAAAGGAAGAAAATGAGAGATCGAGAATGTTCCCACAGCCTGAGCTCTCCTTATGATGTGGTGTTGCAGGGAGGCAAAAACCTAAATAATCCTTAGCAATCCTGGCTATGAGATAAACTTATGATACAGGGGAATTAGCAGATGCCCCTAAACCTGCGTTTAATATCAGACATCAAATACAGTCAACATACTGGTAATTAATTCTCCTTTCAGCAGCGCATCCCAGGTGTGGTTAGAGAAAGACTTCTGGAATCCCTGCTGCTGAGAAGCTCTGGAGTGTGTTTTTTGTAGAGTAAATGTTACTGTAAGCACTCACGGTGATGGTTCTCAGTTAGAGAAAAAAATACTGTATTTGGATGTGCTGGAAGAGCAGGGGAAAGGGGTATTACCTCCCTCCTGACACGCAGGGATGTGGAGCTGGTGTTCAGACAAGGAAAAGCTGCTTCTGTGGATTTTTACCATCTAATCTGACACCACTCCTGAATGTAAAGATACCTTTGTACAGTTTCTGCTGCAGGTAAATGCTATTACTAGAGTTATACACAATTTTTTATTTTGATGAGAGAGTAGATATTGCAGTGCTAGCACATAAGGAACTAAATCAAATGGAGCCTCAATAAGTTTGGCAATATAGAAAAATGGATGGAGAAATCAGAGTGGAGAATGGCACAGTATCAGAGTTTGGTTGCGTGCAGGAGTGTGGAATCACACATCTCTTTGTGGATCTTGTGGATTTCTGTGTTAGGAGTAACGTGTCTTTAATTTTAGCTTGCCTTTGAAGGCAATGTTATTTAAAATAAAGGATGGGGATTGTGTCTGTCTGGGAGGAAGGCTGTAAAGAGCACGAGGGAGGTGCTGAGCAGCGAGTGATGGAGCTGGAGAGGTGAGGAGGAGCAGCACGGGCTGCTGCCGTGTGGGAGCTCCGTCGCCAGCACGGTGTTGGGGAGCTGGGGAGCTGCAGCGTGTAAGAAGTCAAATTAATCAAATTTAATGGAGATACTCTAAGTCCTGGAGTTTTACTTAGGGTTAAAGATGAATAACACTTTTTATTAGTAGTATTTTTTTGCTGTTGGTTCTTAAACATTCATGTGCTTTAGAAATAATATTCATGCCACAAGAAGAGCTATGTTTTTAATACTTTAAAATGCTGTTTGCTAGAAGAACAGACTCTGCAGGACTGGGAGTGCTGTGAATTATTTTTTGGTGATTGCTCCCTGGAGGGATCAACTAGCCGGCTGAAAATTTGGGAAGGAGCTCACTGGGGAAAAGTAAAGGTTGTCTAAACACCCTGTGACTTTTTTGACAAAGGGAGGATTGATGATTTCTCATATCTTTACAATGCTGTCATTAAGTGTTTGTATTTATCATCATAGCCTAAGTCAGCCTTGAGTAAGGAACCACCGGGAAGCGAGGGAAAGGATCAGCTGGTGTAAATGACTCTTGACTGTAGACTGAAACCTGTTGCAGTGGAGTTTGTAGGCTGTGGATTGTGGAAAGATCCTACCATCTTAAAGTCAAAATTCTAAAGCCAAAAAAAGGAAAAATAAAATATACTGCAGCTATATTTTCCATAATCTTTGGCCAGTTCACAATGTATTCCAAGAGTGAGATGTTGATTACTGAATTTTTTAAAAAATCATATTTCAGCTTATGTGTACTCTTGGGGTCATTTTAATTCCATTAACAAATCCTGAATTTCCTACTCTAACTTTTATTTTTCCTTTGTCACAGGTTCTGCAAAAGCTAAGGCAGCTTTGTTTTTGTTCGGTTCTCTGCCCCGGGGTGTGAGCGCTCCCTCTCTAGGCGTTGTGAGTTAACACCTCTGGGATAGTAAGCTGTGTAGTGAAGATAGAAAACAAGGATAGAAAGAAAACAGCTGGAAAATAGAAAACAAGTTTTGTACTGAACTGCTAGCTTGTTCTTTTTTTTTTTTCCCTTCCTTTTGCTACCTCAGCCTCCCGTGAAGCACTTGGGGAGTGCCGGTAGCGGATGCAGCCGTCGGATGGAGTAGCTGGTGCTCCTCGGAGGCTGCTGATGGCTGTGGAGCGTGGTCGATATCACCCCTGCTCTTCTAACATTTCATGTTCTTTGGATCTGTCTTGCCATTGAAGTAGCCACAGGGAGCTTGTGGCACTAAGGAATGTTTTCCTGGGCCTGCTTCTGTTGAGTTCTGGCCATTTTTAAGCATGTGTGTTGTTTAAAGATTTTATTTTTTTTTTGGAAAATAGCTTGGGAGGACAAGTGGATTTTCACGTAAATAACCCCTGGGTCTGATGCAAAATTTGTGTTCTCTTGGGAAAACTTCAAAGGACTTCTTGTTTTCTGGTAACATTTGAAAGCTTAATTTTTGTTTTCCAAACTGAACATTGAATCAAAATATCTTAAATTCATATTGATATTTGAGGTAATATTTGGGAATTAACTTTCCCCAGGGAAACAAACCTTGTTTCAGCAGAGCCTGGCGTTGTTTCTTTGAGCGCTTAGAAACCTGCTCAGTGCCGCACCATCCCGTAAAGGATCCTGATGTACACACCCTTCCTTACGCCGGGAAAGAGGGTGACTGCCTCAGATCTCCTTCACAACGCCCGTGACGGGAATCTCCTGCTGTGATTTTCAGTGATCTACCCTAACGTGTGGGATACTGCTGTGTTAAATTTCTGTTTTGTCTTTCCAAGTATCTAATCTGAGAGTGGAACATCCTATGTCACATTCAGTCCTTCCGGATGAGGGAAAGTAAACCCTTCACGCTAAACCAGAGAGGTTTCTGGCTCAGAGGGCTCTCGGTTTTGGTGCCGAGCACTGTCTATGTGCCTGTGTATTGTGCAAAGGCAATAGAACTTTGATGCCCCACGCCTGCTGGTATTTTAAGAAGCATTTGGACAATGCCCTTAATAATCTGCTTTAACTTTTGGGAAGCCTTGGAGAGGTCAGGCAGTTGGATGAGATGGCTGTCGTAGATCCCTTCCAGCTGGAGCTATTCTATCATATTCTGTTCTAAGTTGAAATAAGAATTGAGAAACCAGTCCTGAGTGATCATTTATGCAAGTATTGTGCTCCCAGCCTCCTACTATACTTGAAGGATTGATGTTTCTGTCCCTTCTTCCCTTCTCTCCCTTCAGAAAACAAGAAGAGCGAGTGCAGCAAGTGCGTAAAAAGCTGGAGGAAGCACTAATGGCGGACATTCTGTCACGGGCAGCTGATACAACAAAAGATATAGACGTAGAAATGGACAATGGAGATGAAGCGTAAAAATAAATCAGGTGAGTCAAATCTCCTGGAGGCACGCTCTGAGGTTTACCTGTCTCGGCTGCTGGGGATCACTCGTCAGGCTTTCAGTGGACAGCGGTGTATCACACTTTCTTTTATCTCATGCGTCTTACAGTACTGATCTGTTGATTTGCCAAACACACTCTTAAAAAATATTTTTGTTTAATCCTCTGCAGAAGAATGGCGATTCATTCTCTCATTTCCATTGAGCTCATAGTGCTCGTTCATGAAAGTGCACAGCTCTGAGATCTGACCTTTTCATAAGGAGTTAGCAGAAGCTGTAGTAACTACAAGGTGGTTGTGTAATTTTAAAGGACTCTTGATGTTTTCCAGGCTGCTGGCATCTTTGAATTACATTAAGTTAGAGCTATTTACTATTACACTCTTAATCCCTGAGTAGTTCTGTAAAAGTCTAATTATGGCTAACTTTAAAGGAAGTCAAAAAGAACGTTGTTTTAAGGTGTGACATCTCAAACCTGTGCTATTTTAGAATCAAATTGTCAGTTTGAATTTTTGAGTTCAGCATAAAATAATTGTTTAGTAATGGAGTCATAAATTAATTAATTTTTGCGCCGGTACTGTGGCTCTCTCCAGAAATCAGCTGGATCAGTAGACCTTGAGTCTCATCAGCTTGTGAACTGTTTACACGTAGGTAGCCAGTGTACATGTAAACGTCCATGTGTTGGCTATGTTCTATAAAATGACTTTTTTTTCCCTGGCGGCTTTAATTACAGACTTGAGCAAGATTTTTGAGCAAGTGGATTAGTTAAAAAAGCTTAAAAGATGCAAGTTTGGTTTTTTTTTTTTCCTTTACACAGACTAACATTCCAGTACAATAATTTTATATTAAGAAACTTTTCATATACACGTTATGCTGTATTTAAAAAACCCAAGAATTCAGAAAGTGCTTTAGGGCCGGAACGAAGCACTGCAGAAGCCTGGTGATGCGCCAGGGTGTGTGGTGCAGGATGTTAAACGCACATTGTGCTTCATGAAAAAGGAACGAGGCACCTGTGGGACTTGTAACAACCAAGTAGCTACTCGTATTAATTTATTGTTGCCCACTTATGAACTATTTATGCCGTGCTCTGAATACAGAACCAAAACACAGCTCTAACTGCTCCGACAAGTCGTTCTAATAGATGCAACCATCAGCCCTTGCTTTTCCTAAAGGTGTATTTCTTTCTCTTTTGCAGGTACTTTAAACTGACTTGTCCCAGGAAGAACTTCCTAAAAGACAGAGGCACTTTCTCCGTCGGTCTTTCGTTGTAAGAAGAAATGGACCCATGCACATTTATATAGCTTTCTAATAGCATTAAAACCAATGCCTTTTTTAGACTCCTATTTTTGATGTATATATCTTATTTGAAAAGCAACTTTATTTTGTGTCCTATGACCTAAAGTCCTTTTTTAAGTATCGAACGTTACCCTTAATCTAAAGCTGAGCTTTTGATGCCAGGTTGCAAGACGTACTGGAATTATGTTGCCTGACTAAATATTTGTTTTTCCTGTGGTTTTTCGTAAGGATGAATCAGGAGAACAGAAAAATCTCCCAATTAAAGATTATTGTGACTCTGTATATAAACAGATTTTTATACCTAAGGGTGAGAGAACACCTGTACATTCTTCCGTCATCACTGTAAAGAGAAATAAATGATTATATTCCAAGCACTTGAAAACTTTGTAGATGGAGTAAGCAAAGAATGTCCCTCCTCATATCTCAGCGTTGCCTTGGCCAGAGGCGGGGTGGGCTGGGAAAAGCGCGTATCAGTGAGCTCTATCTTTGCCGGCAGCACTGCCTCGGGACATCTGTCTGAACCCAGGAGCAGTTGTGGATTTTTCAGCCGAGGTGAAGTACAACTGCATATCTCCTCTGAGAAAGAAAGCTGCTAAAAATAAGTAGCCGGCATGACTTCACAGAGCTCTGCTTTGAGGTCAAAGCGAGACTGTAAAGATAAAGTGTCCTTGGTGCAGAATGCAGCAGGTGCCAAAACTCCATCTTGTTTCTGTCTGCCTGGACAAAGCGGTTAGCACGTTTTGAGATGCCCTAAAGCGTTCTGCGAAGTCAGGTGGGTCTGAAAAACTCAGAAACAATCAGAAAAATGGGCAGGGTTTTTGCTTAACTTCCCTGGAGACTTAAAAAGACTAAATTGCCTGGCAGGTCAGAGTAGTTCCAAGGTTAGAATGCAGCCCATGGTGGGAGAAGTTTTCCATTGCCTCCGGAGTCTCTTTTTCTGTCCGTGCAATACTGGTCACGAGAGGGAGAGCAGAGAAGATGGGATCTTACTGCAGGGTTTCCTGGGATGGGTGCGGGCTGGGAATCAAGATGAATGTAAAAAAAAACGATGTTCCCCAAAAATTTTTGTTATTTGATGGATTTCGTGAAGATTCCTCTGTGGGAATGTGCGTGCGGTGCACTGCCTGGGAACTTTTCAGAACAGAAATTAAGGGTTTGAAACATAAAACTCGGAAAGTAGGGTGAAGATGAGTGAAAACACATTGATAATTAGTTGAATGTAAAACCAGTTTGTACTTCTTGTAATGGTGTAATTACTGAGCAGAGAGTTCACCAGCAGGGCTGTGAGTGACTTCTCCTGTGCCGCAGTACTGTCTCATTTTAGGGAAGGACCCATTTTACCTGGAGAATTCTGAAAATTCGCGGCACCCTGGGCTCTGACCCCCCGCTTGTGCACGATAACAACTTTGCCAGCCGCTTTCCAAAAATCACAATTGTTTTGGAACCGCATCGTCTTTCACACCGCGTACCTTTTGAGGCAGATGCTGCTTTAAAATCACGCAATATTCTTCTGGGGGTGCTAAAATTCTCTGCTAAAACACACCTCCAGGAAATGAGCAGCTGCTTTTTCATCGACTTTAGATGAACCTAGGCACCAGCTTTCATTTTTATATCATCTGCACCAGAAAGACTGGCTTTTTCCTTAGCTTTTATGTTGAAAGTTTAATGACTTCTTAATTAAAGCTGAGCTTGCCTCCTTGACTTGTCGCTGGTTGGGACAGGTTGATGCACACGTTTCCTGAGATGGGGAGGAATGCTATGGATTTTTTCCAACAGGACACCTCCGAAATGGTCAGAGAAGAAGTCCAGGCGCTTGCAGAACCGCAGCAGGTGCCTGTCGCTGGGTTTCCATGGGGGAATATTACAGAATTCCCAATTTGTGCACCAGAAGGTACCAGTCCCCCCAGCCTCCCCATTCCCGTGCTGGTCCCTGCCCTTCCCCGGGGCTGCAATGGGGGCTGGAGCCTCGAGAGGGCGGTGCAGCCTCACTGATGTGCTGCCTGCATCCCTGCTCCTGCCTGCATCCCTGCTCCTGCCTGCATCCCTGCTCCTGCCTGCATCCATCTCCTGCCTGCATCCCGGGCAGTGCACTCCTTTTTTTCCCAGCATTTTCCCAAATTATGATTGTCTGATTTTTGTGACCTGTGTATTGACTATTCTGGGATGTTCTGTATGAGTCCAGCTCTAGAAATTGGACTCTAGTCCCTCTTTAGCATCACTGTGGTTTGCGTTCTTGAGCAGAAGAGGGGAAATTCATCAACCAGCTCCCTACAAAAGCGGATTTGAGGGAAGGAGGTTGACAGGTGGATGGTCAGATGTGCCAAAGGCTTCGGCTCTGGGCTTAAATGTCCCAATTCTGCTCAAATCCCATGAAAGGACCTTGACTATTTGATGCAAAGTCCAGAGAGTTCTAAAAATAGGAATGTTTGGAGGAACACAAGGCTTTAGCGCTTCAACTGGAGTTACTGTGGTGCACAGAGGGGCTGACTCACAACCCAGTGAAATCCAGGGGAAAAAAAAAAATCTGTCGATTCTGCAGGAGGTATTTTTAAGTTGTTTTTTGAGTTAGCAGGGAGCTGCAGAAACCTGAGTGTCCTGAGAATCGGTTTTTAGTTACCTTGGGAGGTTTTCAGGAGTCTTGCTGCACCAATGACACTAAAGTGACGGATGCAGTCGGTGTCTGGCACTCGCTGTGATTTAAAGGGTTGATGCTCGATATTTTCCGATGCCCAAAGTCTTCCCACAGCCTCTGCAAACAGGTTTAACTGCTTGGTGACTAAGTGAAACGTTAGGGGAAAACCCTGTGGAGCAGACCCACAATGAAAACATATTTTTTCTTACTTGAAAAATAGATGCTCTACTCCAAAATGTTTTGTTTCTGGGTGGCTTTGCTCATTACCAAGTTTAACCAAGATAAATTAAAAGGTGAAATCTCCTCCGAATGAAGATTTTTGATATTTGGTTAAAAATATCAAAACGGATGGTGGAATATCTCCAAATTTTCTCCTCTCTTTTCCCCAGTGATATTTATCCAATTCTCACCAAATTCACAGGTTCAGCCACCCTAAACCTGTGTGTGAAAGACCCTTCTGGTTTGCCTCGTGCCTAAACGCACAAGGAAAAGTTTCGGGATGAGTACGGAAGGACAAGTTCAATCCACCCCATGCCATATCCTGCAGATGGAACAATTTTTCTGCAGTGTAAAATGATATAAAACAAATTTCTGGGCGCGCGTCCAGCTCAGCAAATCACCTTTGTCAATCCTCAGGTTTTCTTCATCTGTTTTGTAAATTAATAAAAAAAAAATGAAAAGCTTCTTCTTGTACCTATACAATGAACGACGACCTTGTGCGTCCCTTCTATGGGGTGTGAGAGAAATATTTCTTCAAAGTTTTCTGGCAGATGACAAGGGATTGTTAAAAATTTTTTTTGCTTTTCATAGAAGAATGGAATTAGAATGAAGAGATTAAAACCTGGAGGTGAAAAAAGATGAAGGGGGAAATTAAAAAAGAGAAGGAAACAAGACAGGTTTCTTGGGACAGAATTTTTAGCATCACACTTAAAATTAATCAATATTGTCAATGTTTTACATTTCCAAGGAAAATAGCTTTTTCCAGTAGCTCTCATTCTATGAGCTTCAAGCAAGATATAATTAATATAATAAATTACTGGTGTTGTGAACCTG